TATCAAATATTTGTTCTGAAAAAGCAGCATACTTTAGTAACATCAAAATGCTAAAAATGAAGTCCCTTCTCCTTTCCTTCTTTACTAAAAAGTAAACATTATTTATATTTATAACTAGATTAAAAAGAATGCATCAAGATTTTTGTCAAGTGATCTCAACAATTTTCTAAGTTTATTAGTGGCAATGACCATTACTCTCACATTAAAAAAAAAAAAAAAATATATATATATATATAATCATAGTAACAGTGTAAGGCAAGTTGTGGTAAAGGTGTTATCTTTATTTTACACTTTAGCAAATGTAAAGCAAATATAAAATCTCCCACAAGATATAGGCATTCCTTAAATTTTCTAGTAATGTTTTCTAACACTGGAATTTTTTTTAGCTTATAAGTTTATCAGCATTTTATATACTGAAGTTGGAAGACAGCATAAGAAGCTGAGTGAAATTCATTTCAGAAGAAGGTGAAAATTAATATAATGACAAGAGGATTTAGACTATGGGTTAAAACAAAGTAGCTGTTTTTATCTTGAATAGAGGATGAAACTTGCAAAAATAAAATTTTGGTCTTGGACTAAATATATGCTCATATATCGTAGACAACATTTCTCCACACTTTCATTTTAAATAGATTACTTCATTTGAAAATACATTTTATTAAATCGTAGTCGACAGGAATTATTCTATATTAATTATTAATGACTTCACCAGAGTTTTACTAAGGTATTAGTAAGGTATAAGCCCTATGCAATCTCACAGTATATTTTGCAGAAAGACTTTTTGCTGTATATTTTATATCAGACTTTAATGAAAACAAATATTAAATTAAGCTTAAGTCTTCTCAATGCATGTTTGAATCATGCAAATAGTTAAATATTAAAACGATATGATTTATTTGTCCTAGTCTAGCAATTTAGTGTCCAGTGGGTAGTTGAATAATTCAGCAGAGTAGAGCGCAATTGGGAGCAACTGCACACAAGCAGCTTGTTGCTTTCCATCAGAGAACTGACCAACAATTAGGCCAGTGGGACAGCCTCAGAGCTCACTCACTGTAATGCAGCTGACATCACCCAGGGAGACCACAGAAGAGAGTGTTCCTCTCCTCCCATGAATTAGGTCTGCCTTTGCCGGACCCTATTACAGAACCCTGTTGGGCTAGCCTTACTACTTCTCCCTCAGCACGGTTTGTCCTGACTCGACAATACAGCAAGTGAAGGGAAGTTCTATAATACAGAGGACATAATATAACATAGCTATTACATATAGCGACATAATATAATGTAGCTATAATATAGCGACAAGTTCTATAATATAAAGGACAGAGGCTTTCCAGAAACGTGATCAAATGATAGTTACCTCCCTCGGCGTAAAAAAAGAAAAATATATGACCCTTTCTGCTTTAGATTGCGCCCCCGTTTAACTATTTTGAGAAAGAGCATACTTGGAAATTCATGGTGTTATTCGTCTTGGAAATAATAGCTTTTGAACGCTTTTCAACCACTTGCAGGTTAAGGAAAGAGAAATATAGTTAGGTGGGCCACCGCCCCAGCGCTAGCTGCTTTAGCAGGAGTAAAGGACAAAAGGGTTTGGGAAAATCTACTTTCACTCTTCAGTGAATAGGTGTCATTGGACAGCAGGAGGGAGGCCAGAGTCGGGAGTTTGGTGGGGGGGGGGGGGGGGGGGGGGATAGTTTTGCTCGGTGCCTTGGCGCCGCTGCTCTACGCTCCGAGCTTCCAGTTGCACCCAAATGACAACTTTCTTGGGGCACTCTTGGATTTGAAAGAAAGGGCCAAGTTATTGATGAGAGACCCAACTAGCCAGAATTCTTTCAAAATGCATCCCCTTTGGCCTCATGTAGGCCTCGGGATCAGGGATCGCCGCCGTCTTTTCCACAACTTGACCATGCAGGTCGAGCACCTAGGCTCCCCTAGTCCCCGGCTTCTCACCGCGCCAATCCTAGGCAGGCTGCGAGCCCAGCTTCTCCAGGGCTAACTGGGAACGGTGGACGTGCGCCTAGCCTTGCCTAACACATCCGGGCCTCTGCAGCCCAAGCACGCCGAAAAGAGACTCCTCGGGTGCAGGCACATCAGTCCTGACCCTCCAGCGCTGGGCGCGCAGCGCGAGATCTAATTCCACTCTAAACAGAAGTGGAGCGCGTCGCCGGGGCCTCTCCCGCCCAGCCACGCGCGGAGACACCGCCGGCACTCCAGCCAGCTGGAAAGAGGGATTTATTTGCTGGGAGTCTCTCCGATCTCCTCGCCAGCACCGGCCGCTTCGGGCGGCGTCTCCAATTTCTCCCCTAAGTGCTAAGGAGACAGCCCTTCGGGGACGGCCGGCGGATCTGACAGCCGCGCTCCAGAGGGCAGCGGCCGCGGCTCCTCTGCCAGGGGAGCACCGCCGCTCCGGCGGCCGGGCGCGCGCGGGGGCTTCCTCTCCGCCGTCCCGGGAACGTGGATAGCGCGCCCACAGGATGTTCGCCGGCTGGGCTCGGCAGTCGGGAAACATGAGAAGACCTCGCTATTCCTGTTCCGGGGCCGCGCGCGCCGGGCTGGGCCATTAAAGCCGCGAGGCCGGCGGTGGCGGCAGTGAGCGCGTTGGAGCCCGCGCGGGGAACATGCGGCGGGGATGGGAGAGCGCCTAGCCTCGACCCGGGAAAGCCAGCCGTCCAGTCGCAGGCCGCCGGCCAGGCCGCCGCAGGTACAGCCGGCCCCCTGGTCGTGGCGTCCTGGCCAGGTTTCGCATGACCAGAGGCTCCCGATCTCGCTCCCACGCCTTTCCTTCCCCGTGCTCCGATCCCTCGCCTCGCCGCGCCCTCCTCCCTCCTCTCCTCCGAAGTCCAGTGGGGACGCCGCCCAGCTGGCGCCCAAGGTTTGCAGGAGGGTCTGCAAGGCGTTCCGGCGCCCACCTGGTCGCGCCCCCTGGGTTCGGAAATGATTCTCGGGCGTTGGGCGGGGCTGTTCCCGGGAGAGCCTTGGAGGGGGTCGGGTAAGGAGAGCGAGCTGGACCCCAGAAGAGGCGCTGGGGGCCGCGCGCTGGCCCCCGGAGGAGGTCTGGGCGGCTGCCAATGGCGCGCCAGGGCATTCACGCGCGCGCCCGAGGCCGAGTGCCAAAGAGCTGAACTCTCAGACCTTTCCCGCCCGCTGCCACCGCGCCCGGTCCCGGCACGTCTGGTTCCCAGCCGAGCCAGACCGTTAGTTGAGGTAGCTCTCCGCGCGTTTGGGGCGGCCCGAGCAGGGTGCGAGAGGGCGTGTCCCCCCCTGGTTTCGCCAGGAAAACCACGCCGCGGCATTTGGGACGCGGCGGGGATGGGGGAGGCGGCCGTGCTGCGGCGGGGGAGTGCGCTTTACGAGCCCAGCGGCGCGGATGCAAATCCCCCAGAGCTCCGAGTTCCAAGGGCGAGTTCAGTGGGTCGGACGGGGGCTGCGGGCGCGGGAGTCATTGGGACTCATCGCCAAGGCTGGGTACTCACTGGGAGTCACGTACCTGGCTGCTCTGGAAGGACTCTTTCCCCAGGTACCCGAGGCAGCCAGCAGAGGTCTGACTTGGCCTCCCCACAATCTCCAAGGTAGCCGTCGCTTCGGCGCTAGGGTCCCGGCTGGGAAGGTAGCGCGTGATCGCCGCGGTGGTGGCCGGAGGGCGCGGCGGGGGCGCTGGCGAGTGCGGGCGCTTCGCTAGGCTGGGCGTGTGTGCTGGGGCGGGGTGGGGGTAGGGGGGCCGGGGCGGGGTGACGGGGGCACTGCCAGGGAAGGGGAGGCCGCTCGGTGAAACTGGACCTGCAGCGAGACGCGAGGCGGGAGATGGGGCGGGCGAGGGCGGCCGCGCTCTTCGGGACGGTCGCGCGCCGGCTGCTCAGCCGCACCAACTTGCCCTTGACGCCCGCCAGCGGCGAGCAGAGGCTCCAGGCCGCCGCGACCTCGGAGGTGAGCTGGAGGCTGTCTCGGGAGGTGGCAGCCACCGTCGCGGCACAGTCGCTGGGGTCACTCGCTCCGGTGGCAGGGGCCAGGGGCCGGGCGGTAAGCGGAAGCTGCGGACGCCTCGGCAGTCTCGGAAATTTCCTGGTGCGGTCCCGGAGAGGGGGCGAATGTGGCGGGGCTCCAGACTGGTGTTTCCGCAGGGTGCGGGATGCAGGGGACAGACGAGGGTGACCCTGACTGCCGGCTCTCCCGGGGACCTGCCCAGGCCCGCGTGTTCTGGGGCGGGACAGCGTGGTGGTCGGAAGACTTGTGGTAGAAAAGGCTGCAGTTGCCCCTGACGCTCCCACCCCCCCTCCCCCCTTGAGCTTCCCAGTTCTGGAATCCCTTCCTGACTTCCCCAGCCTCCTTCCTCCACCCTAGGTGACCTTAACCCCAAGAAGGGCGCTTAGGATTCAGCCAAATGAGTCAGGATGTGGAAACCATGAAAGTTCCGCAAATCCTGGTTTGCCCAAGGACTCATTAACGGGGTCCTGAGGATATAGCTGTTCCGGCTACTTGTCCTGTACCCTTGCTTTCTACCCTCGCCTTCCTAAAGGGCTGGGGCGGGCTTTAGGTTTCCCTTGTGCTTGAAGAACCACGCGCGGCGCCTCACCTATCCTACTGCGCTGTCAGGAACGTGCTTCCCGCAGAACAAACTCTAGACCCAAAGCACCTTTGTGAATTACTTCCTTTTTTGTCCCGCAGGTTAATTTTTCCTGCTGGAGGTTCTCTGGGGAACCAGATTCCCGAGGCGAGGAGGAAGTGTGTGTGTGTGTGTGTGTGTGTGTGTGTGTGTGTGTGTGTACACACGAGATGGTGCCCTGGGTGCAAGTGTAGCACAGGTCGGCAAGGGCAGGCTTCCCCAGCGAGATACACCGCTTCCCTGCCCGGCCGCCTGCCCAGCGCCCAGTTCCGAGTCCGGGGCTGGCGGAGGGTAAGCCGAGTAACGCGATGCGCTTGGTCTCCTAGAACCCGAGCCCTGCGGAGCCCGGCGGCCTGCTCCCGAGGCGCAGCGGCCGCGTGGCGCGCCTCTGCCAGCGAACAGCATGAACACCATCGTCTTCAACAAGCTCAGCGGCGCCGTGCTTTTTGAGGACGGCGGCGCTCCGGAGCGGGAGCGGGGCAGCCGACCCTACGGAGGAGTCCTGGACAGTCCACGCGCGCGCCCGGAGGTGGGCATTCCCGACAGCCCGCCCCTGAAGGACAACCTCGGCCTGAGACACCGGAGGACAGGGTATGCGTAGTCCTCCTGGGACCCTCGACCCCTCAGTCCGCCCGCTGCCGGTAGCTCGGGGCTACGGGCCCCGAGTTTTCCCGGGAAGGCGGCTCTCTCGCCCTGGTTCTTGCGCATCTCATTTTATGGTGTCAGCGTGTGCCACGGGAAGCGGTCGGTTAGTGGGAACCATGCAAAGGACACTGGGAGCTGCCCTCCAGGCCCCGATCCTGGGCCCTCCGGGACAAGGGGGTGCTTGGCTGGAGACCCGCGGGGGCAGCCAGTCCTGGCTACAATGTCGGGAAGAGGCGGAAACCCCTCCGAGTGAGACTGGGCAGGGCCAGGCATCTGGGAATTCCCAGGTCAGGTCGACCCGGGGCATCGATCCAGTCTTCTGTTCAGAAGGGCACGCGGGCCGCCTCACCCCGCGGGATGTCTTGCTCCATCTAACCAAGGAGTCGGGAAGGTCGGCTCTCCGCCCCGCGCCCCGGGCGCGCGGACCCGGCCCTGCGGATCCCGAGGCGAGCTTGGAAAGGGAGCCCGAGAGCCAGCGGCGTTTCGGTTTAGCGGGGTGAGGGGCACCCTGGGGTGCAGGAACTTGGGGGTGGGCAAGCTGCTCGCGTCCCCGCCGGACCTCGGCGGCTCCTGGGAAGCCCTGCTGGGGGCAGGGGGGCAGGACTGGCCTCCCCCATCGCCACGATTGCATCAGCTGCTGGTTCTGCGGCGTTCCGGGTTAGTAAAATAGCGGTTAGATTTCACTACAAGGTTACTACCATTCCATTCCGATGGGATTGCATTTCAAAGTCGTC